CGAAGCGGCGCAGGCAACGAATTCGTGGTGACAATCTGCATGATGAGGTGCAAGATACTCGTAGTGGGTCGGTATACAAAGAGGGCGTGGTCGTCTTTGTCCAGCGTTCAGACGGCGTGATCCGGACTCAGCGATCGCACGGGTCCTGCCGAGTGGTAGCAGCAGCAGTCGTACTAACATTACCGTCATCCTCTTATCACGGAACCGGCTGTCTTCCCGGCTAGCTCATTCTCACGCACGACACGGTAAACATGCCGAAGACGGTACGTTGTAAGAGACCACTTTTTGTGCTGAGCCAAGGGAAGCAAGTAGTCGTTGAAGTGCGATTCGGACTTCACCGGGGGAAGAGGGCGCTGCGAAAGTCCTCGCGCGCTGTTGCACGAGGACAGCAGCTTCGGCGATTCGACGGCTACGGCGCAGAAGCGGCACAGCCGTCTCTCGCGATCAACGTCAACGTTCAACGTTCAACCTTCTTGTACATCTTGCTGTTGCGCGAGTGGGAATATTGGGATTTCTCAAGTGCGATGGGGTGCTCTCTTGAGCCTCGAATGACGCTCGAAAGTTGGACTATCCCGCCTTCGGGCGTCTTCCTGGCCAGGAGCGCACATTAAGACGTCAGCATCTGCTTATTGGTCAACTGGCTCTACCGATACTCGCCCCCAGCCTTCCTCCTATCGCTATGGCCCGGTCTATGGCACTAGATCATCGATCAGCAGCGAATCAACCCTTCATTACGCATGCTACTTCTTCGATGCGTGCCGCCTGTCTTACAGCATGTTCTTTCGAGGTCAGGAAAGGCCGAGGTCGGTTGCGTGGTTCCACACGGAACTGGTACTCAGTTCTCCGTCCGGCCGTACTCTGCAAGTCGATCACCCGCTCAAAGCTGCGTGATTATAGACAAGGATGGGTGCGTGTACGGTTATTATCATGTACATGGAAACTCATTCATCCATGATAGCTCCCAGATTGCGATTGAGCGTATCGGTCACTGTCCGATCTGCTCTGGCAATCTCGGGTTTGCCGTATAGGGGCAGTGTTGCGCAGACTACATCGGCTATCACCTAACGCTCTCTACGCTAGACTACCTAAACTCAAGATGTACCTACCGAATCAAACGATGTCCGCATCTACCTCAGTTCCCCGATTGTTTCGGGTGCACCCCCTACTCACAACGTTACGCCTCGGTCTCTCGCTGATCCAGTTGGGGGAAAATATTGGCAAGGGTTGCAAATACAGCTAGTCAGTAAGTCTCGGGTGTTATGGGCCGGAAAGGCGAACGATCCAAAGCACAAGAAGATTCGAACTCGTGAGGGGGCGATTGGACGCCGATTTTGACTTAAGCTGCATACAGCGTCAGCATGGAGCGCCGATTGAATGCAGCTCGTTCAACTCACTGATATGTCCCATACCTCTCTCTTTGCCGCATCCGGCCCACTGACTATGAATGGAGAAGGTGGGGCACCCACAGTCGTCGCTGCTAACGTCAGCCAGACGATGAGGGTCTAGGAAGTGGAGGAAGGGGTTGGATGGCTTCTCTGGCATTTGGATGGCGCCTTTAGGGGCACGCATAGGGCGCTCCTCGTGCTCCCCATACCATCCTGCGTCCTAATCACCCCATCTCCCTCCTGTGACCGGTTCCACCGCTAGTGCTGTGTCCACCATGTTCAGCATGTTCACATTGGTCTGCGACTGCAACGCGTATACGAGACTTGGCTACCCACATAGTGACCGGTACTCGTCATTCGGGCAAAGTACACACTTTCACACGTGCGGACCCCTTTGCCTGGTGCTCGTCGCGAATTGCTTGCTCGCTGGTGCCGTATCGCGCGCCGATGGGACGGTGCCGTGGTGCCCGTTGCCCCTATACGTCGCGGACCGGCTGCGTGGCTCCGACCTACACTCGCACGTCCCCTCCTATGGTCGTGAGCAGCGCTTCATCGTCGGGAATGTCAGGCGCTTCTTGAAAGCTGGCTACTCTCACGCCATGAAGATCTGTTTGCAACCGATGCGCCAGGACCAGTTTGCCATGTCCTCTCGATGTTTCGCCACTATCTGCGAACAAGCGTTCGACACCGCCTCGCGCTCACACGCATCGTTAGTGGAGACTCCCGTTTCGCTATAGTGCTCATGGCTGGTAGTCGCAATATTGAGCACTGACGGAAACGCACCTTCGTCTCTGCTGCCTGTGCCGCTGATGCCTGACACGCAGAACACGCGCTGTCCGTACGCCGGGGGAACGAAGACCTGACCGTTTGTCGCTCGTCCTTCCGGAGGTGCTCGGTGCATGCCTTGGAGCTGATTATATTCACAGGTGAAGAGTGTGCAGCCGATAGCACTTCATTCAGGGCGCTCATGATGTTGCGACCGATTCTTTGATTGTGAGTTGCAAAGCCATGGAAGTGTGCCGACGCGACTGGCCGTGACTCTGGCGTAGGCATCGTGACTCCTAGAAGGTGCTCAATCGTGCTTTGCTATTGAAACCAACTGTATCGTGATTGGGCAAAGCGAATTTTCATCACGGATCATCATGGTTACGGATGACGCAGACGTGAACTCGTCGTATCCCGCATAAACCAGCGAAAGCAACGCGCAGGCAATGATAGGGCGGCCGCAATGCCGTATAAATACCAGATACATCCTCGAAGCGCGGGCCGTCAAGTAGGTTGAAGCTCTGTGCATTCCTACATTTCTTTTTCCTCGGCGCCCGACGACGCCTACACCACCGCCCGATACCGCCCGGGGTCTTCTAGCACTTTGAGCGACTGCCCTCAAGAACGTGTTCTGAAGAGCATGCTTCGAGGAATATGCTCTTGAACGAAGACGAAGATTGACTGGGCAGGAGTACGGTCATTCATTCATAACTGGATACAAGCGGGCGATCGTCAGCCCTGCATCTGTGAGGAGAGTACTTCGTCGCATACCTTGTCCGAAGTACACGCTGTGTGCGAGGTTAATACCTGTCGAAGCTGTAGAAGGTGGCGATTAGCAAGGTAGAGGGGCCACATCGATAGGCAGAACGTACCAATGCATTGCGTACGCGCTCTCTGACGAATTGGCGACGATAGCGGTGCGTTGAGACTTTCCCCATGTATGCACAGCTATTGTACAGAACAATCATCAACAGTTCGTTCTTTCCCACTCCCAATAAGTTGTTCAAGCAGATCGGCAAAGTTGCATTACTCGTACGCAGTTGACCTATGCCAACGCGCGTCAGATGAGTACTTGACGTTCCACGTTGGATCACGGCGTACCAAACGTGAATACGCGCCCGGCTGCTCCGGTGGCATTGACTTTCAAGTTCCACCGATGGCGGCCAGGGCGCCACCAATCGAATGACCTGATGAACAGCGTGTCATCAGAACGAGCAGTTCACCAGCTGAGAGAACCGCGGGAGTAGCGGTCAAAGTCACCGAATAGGATGGGTCCTATTGTAACTGCTCGACCACGGTATCGGGCACGAGGTCGCTCCCAAAACCAAACGCGACGCCGAAACCTGCGTATACTTACGCATCGCCGCTGACATTCAAGGGTAAACCAAGGGAGTCGAGCGGCACAGGCGGCATGCTCGCATCTACGGGTTCAGCCGTAAGAATGACTAACCACAGATGGTCAGTCCCACGGGAAGGCGTGTAACGTACCGGTAAACATGTCTGGAAGTTGTTGGCTCCCGTGGAAGGCCACGATAACCTCTTGCCGTCCATCATCGCGCCCCACGAAGCCGTGTACTCCCGTCGAAAGGTTCGTGAACTGAGATACGAATGCGTCAGCATACGGCCTCAGCGCCACACGTTCAGCTTGATCCCCAGTACCTCCGTTACAAACTGTTCCCGAGCGGATTTGGACATAGGTGCTGGTAAACCGCAGACGAATACTGCGTATGGCGTATGAGCTCATCGTAAACCTGTTGCGGTATCCCCACCTGCGGTGTTCCATGGGAGATGCCAGTGTGGTAGACGAGAACGAGGGAAAGGTAAAGGTAAAGGTAAAGGAGGAAAGCTAAGCCAGAGTACCGTACTGAAAGGGGCGGTGCCGACGAATTTGCTGGTAAGACTCGCTAGTATACGTCCCTGGCCAAGGGCCCAAGGTATACGCTAGAAGCTGAGCGCAGTACATGGAGGTTGAAAGAGAGTTGCGAATGTAGCGTGTTGAGTTCTAGTATCCCAGCGCCACGTCAACAGGTCGTGTGATCGTTCACCTTCGCGGAATAGGGGCACCTGGAGCGCCCCCGGGCGGCAAGACGTCTGCGGTCCGGAAGCTCGAATCTAAGACGAAGACCCCAAACGGCGTTTGAATTTGGCAAAGAGAAGTATGGAAACGTATTAGATCGTAGACAGCGGGACTATTCCGGGGAAGTGGAGGCAAAAGACGTAGTATGTGTATGCAGCAGACAGATGTTTCGGAGAGCTCAAGCTAAAACTAGACATAGCGGCAAAAGGAACGGGAAAGCGGCACGAGGGTATCACTATCAGAGGGTATACGTATCGTATCGTACGGATCGCATCGTGATCTACTGGTGAAATGCGAATGCGAAAGCTAATCCAGCAGTGACGTTCAATCCGAGTCGGGCTCCGGCTTAGCCACAAGCTGCACGTCGCGAACGTCAGCGGGCAGCAAGATGCGGCTCGAAGCGACACGCTGCGGCATCACCGGTTGCTCAGCCACGTCTACCACGTCCTTGCGCTTGTGCCCACGCTGTCCACGCCTCGAGATCGTTGGATACTCGCATGGCAGCTTGCGCTTCTCGCACTGTCTGTAACCGAATAGTTAGCAGGTTTGTTCAGGCCCCGCAGATTCGAGAAGAGATAACGACAAAGAGGGTACGAGGATGCCTGTCATGATAAGAGGATATCTCCGCTGATAACACAATCAGTGCGGCGTACGTGCCGGAACGGCTACAGGCAGGAACAGCTCTGCACTGGTATAAAGTGCAGAATCTCGAATTGCAAGCCCATGCCCCTCATCAAATCCAAGCTCGCTCCAACTCGGAGAAGAATCGGTACTTACTCGCACGTTTTGTCCTCGCTGCCTTGTACTGGGTTGCACGATATCTTGCGTCCTCGACAGAAGAAGCACGCGAGGAAACCCGGATCCTTCCGGGGGCCCTTGTTCGGTCCACGGGTTCGCTTCACCCGACGCCGTTGCGGCTCAGCCTCCGCAGGCGACCCACTCGTTCTTGCGCGCGAGGACGTACTCGTCGTCGTTGAGTCCGGCGATCCCGTCTCATAGATGAAGTTCATGTCCCGCATGATATCTTGTTCGACATCCTCGGTCTGATCTGGCGTAACCGGTAGTGCTTCGACGGAGGGGATCGGGGGCGCCGGCCATACGTTCTGCGATGATGGCGTCTGTGTGCTCGCGCCGAGCGGAGGTGGTGCGCGTGTACTCGGGGTCGTGCTTGTCGGTGAGTCAAGGTTGAGAATCACATCTCCAAGAGCGTTGGCGAGACTATTGGACTGCGAGCGCACGGCTTCCGGGATTGGCGGTATGATGGATCGCCGCCGCCATTCGTTGCTGACCGGGTATGGGTGCGTGTATGTCGGGGGGGTCTCCGGCGGCAGAGGGTCATGCCCGTGCAGATCGTTGTGGTGTACGTGATGATGGTGATGACTTCGCCTATAACCGACTTCCACCTGCTGCTTCGTTAGCTGCACACACAGGGACAAGAGACTGAGCGGCTTACTGGGTACAGCGCATCATCCGCGACCGAACTCTGCCCACTCTCTCTTGTTTTTGTGTTGTGCGGCGGGAGAGAGGGGAAGCCGGCGGTAGCGGCGATTGCGGAGTTCGTAGTCTGATGGGCGTATCCGGCGCTACCGCGCGCCGGGGTATATCCGTGGTGATCAACAACGACCGCGTTGTAGAACCCTTGCATGTACGCGCTTTGTGGCACACGATTAGGATATGCCTGAGTAAAGAAAGCCTCAGAAACGTGAGAGGATATTGATAACGAGCAGAATGCGAACACACCGGAGGTTCGTGACGGTAGGGCATATGCCCATGACCAGCCCACGCCCGAAGTTGAGGCTCGTAGTGTGAGGCGTCCTCCCCACGAGCAGTAGTGGGGTGGTAGTGACAAGTTGAACCAGAGGTGCCAGACATGCTTGATGAGACGGGGAAGAGAAGTAAGAAGAGCTTGAGAGGAGCGGCGGGGGTCTAAAACGGAAGTGCCGAATAGGTAGACGGAAAGTGAGTACTGAGTACTCAGCGCTGAGCAATTCTTGATATAAGAGCGCGCCGGTTGGGGTGCTGCTGAATACTAAGCCTGGCGCCCGACGAGCCCCTGGTGGCGCTATTCGCTAATCAGACTGTATGCGAACTGCTATTAGTGCCGGACGAGAATGAACGTTGAACACGCGCCGAGGTGAAGGATAGAAGGACGCGTACAATCGGGCTTGAAAGATGGGGTCCGTGGACACCCTATCGGCACTCCCACGCGTGCCCGTTCGCGCAGCGTCCATAAGAATGTACATTTGGTGTGACTGCGCAGAGAGCATATTCAAGCCCGAGTCTGTGCTGAAAGGGAGAGTACGTACGATCGTAAGTCGAACGGAAGCCGTCTCGCCTCGAATTCACGAGAAGACGAAGCCTATCGACACGAGACGTTTCGTCCAGCTGAGGAAGGACACCAAGAGCACAAGTTGGGTTGCCGTAAATTGCGTAGATCAAGTCGAAGACTTCGAAAGAGAAGCGGCCGGTGATGATGAATGTTCATACCGCGCAGAACACGTCACGGCGGCCCCTGACAGAGGGAGCCCGTGGACCATGGTTAGCGCACTTATTGGTCCATCGATCTAGAAGCTTTAGACTCACCTCGCCGGCGTGCTTCAGTGCTGGACTGGAGGCAAGAAGTCGCACTTAGAGCGCACTTCTGCTCGGTAGCTCTAGAGTATACGTAGCATGTTCTTCGGAAAGCTCGCGTCCTGCTGAATGAAGAGTGATTATCTCGCCGCGCTCGACGCTACCTTGAGACTAGGTCCTTGCGAAGCATAACGGGTATAATCGGGCGCATATACGGACCACCAAGCATACGCGCAGATTGGGCGCCGAAGTATGATCGGGCGTTTTAGCGAATGTTCAATGTGGGCTTCCGGCACGGGCGATCGTCCGCTGTGACGAGTGTACGTCAATGGGCATGCTGTCTAAGGACCAGGTGGTCAAGAAGACATCCGTCTTGCCGACTCCAACTGGCTGTTTGAGATACAGGCGGCCTGTAGAAGTAGCATAGGAAAGTACAAGCTTAACATGTGCTCTTCGTCATCGACGCGATGGCTGACGAAGGCGCTCGAAAGCGCTGAGACGCAAGGTTCGGTGAGTCTCGATTGGGGAATCGACGAGGTCGCTTCAAGGCAGGTTTCTCCGTTGCAAAAAGAGATTTCCAGTCATGGCGCAGCAAACGTCCTAACGTGCGTCGTGCGAAGCAGTGGCAACATGGTTGCTAGCGCTACATACTAGCTCCAAGCTTTCAATAGGAGGCGCCGCGCGACACCGCGATCAGAACTTGAGGCAATAGTTAGCAGCTAGGCTCCTTGCGAGATCTGGCTTGAAGAAAGATGTCTGTTGAGACAGTCTGGTCTACGCCATTGTAATTGGAAGGAGTGAGCATATTCGCGTCGATTGAGGATCTGACCGAGTCGATTAGCTTTCACGGAAGGGCGAGTTGCAGGAAAACACGCCGCGCGAGAACGACAAAGTGGTGGATGGCGACTGATAGATGCTGAGACGAGGCATCTTGAAGAGGAAAAAGTGTATCGTATAGCAAGTAGTGTGGTCAGCAACAGGTGCAAAACAGTGCCGCGAACCTGGTTGTGAGTGGGCGGAGAGCAGATAGGGAAGGTGCGAGCTTCCGGTGAGAAGAACGAGCACCGACACATGTCGGTTCTCAGTTCGCGACCATAAATGCGAGTTATACGAGCCTGACGGGAGCAGACAGCGTGCGCGAACGATGCGGCGGCTCGTCCATCCCCTGTTCCTTCCCCTGCGCAGTTGTGCATTGATCCACTAGAGGTTCTCGGGACGGGCAACAGTATGTACCGTAGTACAACGCCCAGATACGCGGAACCCCGTGCGGTGTGCGCTACGAGATGCCTGAGTCCCGCGACGAAAGCAGAAATCTATGATATGACGTGCACGGCGCGAGCGCGCAGTTATCGTGTCCGATGATATGCTACGGAACGAGACATGCCGATGGGCGTGCGGTCCAGAAAGTGCGGGTGGGTGCAACGAGCTATGGTTGCAGTTCAAGCCTAGAAATACTATTTTCCCCCCATGCCAAATTCACAGAAGTTCATGTCAACGATAGGCGATGCATAGCAAGACAAGATCAGAAATACAAGACAAAAACAGGATATACAAGGCGATAACGGGGGCCAAGAGTTGACGGTGTCCATTTCGTGTAGCATTTTTACGGCGTGGTGGTGTCCTCGACCTCCAGGAGACTATCCGACTCAACGGGAAGAGCTTTCGGAGGGTTGCCAGTCCATTCACGAACGAACTGGGCATGCTCCCCGTACTCCTCGGCTGTAACACCGGAATCCACCAATCTTTGCAGGACAACAATCAGTCGTGAGCGATGTCAACCATAGATAATTGGACGCACGACTGCGATAAAACCAGTGTCGCTTTCTTGTACCGCTCCTCGAGTTCACGCGCTTGTTGGTATGCGTTACGTTCGAAGTCGTTGTGCCTTGAACGATTATCTTGATCTGCACAAGGTCGAGGGGATCGATGGCACGCTTCTCCTTGCGAGCAGCTTTCCGCATCCAGGTCGCTCCTGCGCTAACCCGCTCAGGACAGCCAGTCTCAGAAACGCAATTTCATAGTCATTCAGTTCATGCTCCAAAGAGTCCTGTATGGATCATGGTGAGGCGTCGCATAGATGTATGTGGGACTCAAACTCACATTCAGCTCGGATTTCTTCAATGACCGTCATCATATTTTCACCTGACATGATGATGGGCGAAGGAAAGCACCCATCACGCTCGCCGCTGAGCCGCAACATGCTGACGGCATCGGCCCGGTTCCTCCACGTCCATTCCGCCGGAAAGCCGGCTTTCCGCGCGGAAATTCGCCGATTGCCGAACAGGGCCTAAAGTAGCAGCATCAACTCGCACCCGTCTTAGCGTCTGACGAGCCGCGTGCATTCGTTCGCGTCTTGTTCGTGCACTATACTCCTCCGCCAGGGGGCGACAACGCTCCACTACAACCGCCGCCTTCCAGCGCCTTCCTCTCTCCTCGTCCCGCTCTTCCCTTTCCATTGCTTGCGTTGTGACTTTCACCGTCGACACTTCCTTCAACGGTAGCTAGCAGTAGTTTTGAACGCGACAAGAGGGACGACCAGGATGAGATGACGCCATGAAGGTGACTGCTAAGTATAATGGCGAACCGAGTGCACTGATGAAGCAATATGCCTAGTTTTATCACTTGTTTCTAAATCTCCAAGCCTCGGGACAAGTGAGTAGATCAACTTTTGGCGTAGTTCCTAAACTCGACGAATCGAGTAGTGGATAGACCAGCTTCGGATCCCCGAGATAATCCGCGGCGTTCACCTCACGTCCCCCTATGACCTTCACTAACTACCTGCAGGTAGCGGGCGTGTCCAAGAGATAGGATCGAGAGATCAGTAACGGTGCGTTGCAGGCTTTCCACACTGCCCCTGTTTACCTTTGCTCATGTTCTGCCAGAGAAAGCACGCCGATCTACGCATGACTTCGACATGCGCAAATACTCGCATTATGTTGTCAGTGTCATGGTACATCCTGGCCGTCTCCCTTCACTCCCAGTCTTTGCTATATCGGCTTTGCTTACCTCGGTGAGGACGATCCTATGTATTCGTATACAATCAACCTGATTCGGTTCTGAGTTCAACATTCGAACCTTCCCAGTCGTCACGATCCGCTATCCTTAGGATATACTGTATAGAGCTCGTATCTTGATACTCCTATTGTACAGGCCATGACCCATACCCACTCAGTGCGGCTTACGAACTTGAACTTTGACCCCTCTCTCGTTCGCGATGTAGTGTGATTCCGCCGTCGCCGCTAATGCATGCCATCGTCCAGTTTTAAGATGATGTCGAGGGGACACCGCAGACTTTCTGCAGGTTATGCCGGGCCTTTACGGCTAACGCCTGCAGACGCTGGTGGGCTTCTTCCCCCATCGCGGGACTAAGCTGCTAACCTATAAGCGCCGTTCTGGGCGTGTTCGCGATGCGGTCAATTCATGGTGCTTCGTTCTCGACCGTCATGTTCCCTCCCAAGCGTCCCTTTACGAGCACACAGGGCTCTACATTCGATGATTCCTATGACAGCTACACACGAAGCCTTTACGGCTATACGCTTCAGCTTTGGATGAATCTACTCAAGGAGGCAGAAAGACGCTCAGAGGCTCAACGTCCCGAGTCCGACGTCGCTATCAAGTCTCTCAACTACATCCAAGGAGGGCACAATGGACGAAGGGATGATCACTCATAGAATATCTCTCCTTGTAAGCGCACTTATACTGATGGCTCGTCGCGAAGTCCTACACTAATACACAGGATACGTCCATCCCCCGGAGGAGCCTGTGAAGTCCCACGCTTGGAGCCAGACCTTTTCAGAGCACTCCTTCAACTGGTATATTATTTGGAAGATGTTGTGCGTCCCTGCAACAGATAACTTTGCTACAAACGCGCTGACTACATATACTCAGCCGGACCAATTCTCGTGTGTCAGGCGGAGGGGTTTAGGGGGAGGGATTCCTAGTATCCTCATCTTGCGGATGATGAGTTTGACCGGTTCTGTGGGACTCTGAGCACGGGTCAGGTAGGTATACTATGGGC